GAGTTCTCGACTCTTTCCCTTGCTCTGCCTCCTCTCCCTCACCTCTTCTTCCTTCTCCTTCCTCTACCTCGTGGGCTTAACCTTCTTCAGAACCCGGCTTTGTGCGGTACTCTGTTCCTTCTGTCTGCTTCCTGGCCAATTCCTCCCCCTAGTTGACAGACGTGCTTTCAACTCCTTTGTCATTTTCTCTGTTCTCCCTTTGAGGATCTGACTCCCAAACTCCTGTCCGTATGTCTTTCCCTGCCTCACCTTGTCGTCTTGATGATGAATCAATGTGGGGTAAGGTCGGGCAGTATCCACTTACCTTGTTTAGCTAGGGACTCGATGCTCCTTCACCTCTTTTAGCCGGTTCGTCTGTATTGGCTGCCCCTTCTCTGTTCTGATGTCCTGCTTCTTCACCTGGTCGTCTCTTGTCTTTTGATGCTACGCTGTTTCGTTCCTTTCCCAGAGTCTTACCTGTGCTCCTTCCTYCCCCTTCTCCTCCTCCTTCCCCGTTGTCCCTGTTCCACTTTTTCGTCTCGGTTTTCCTTGCTCGCTTGTACTTTGCCCAAGATAGTATGCAGTTGCCGCGCCCGAAGGCGCGGCTCTATTAATTATTTCGACGCCCGACCCCTCTTCTTCCTTGAGTATTTCGCTTTTCCTTCTTTTCGTTGCGCTGCACTGTTCCCCTTCTCAGCCTTTTCCTCTTAGTTATTTTTGTCTCTTCTTCTCCTCCTCTCCCTCTCTCCTCTCCCTGTCTCTTTCCGGAGAATGGGGGGTGGCCACGCCCGTGGGCGTGGCTTGTCGTGATGTGGCTGAAGCTGCTCTCGCCGCCTGACGTCCTTCCCGCCAAAAACAGTGAAATCGTAATTGGAAGGGACGCGCGTGGTTTCACGCGCGGATCCGAGAGCTCGCGAGCAGTACAATCGAAAATTCTCGGGTCACGGGCGAGACCCGCGTCGGCGCTGGCTGGCGAATTGGTGCGGCTTCCGTAGCGCTAACCGGTCGGCACTAGCGCTCCATTCCCACCTGCTAGTCACAGTTGTGGATTGTCGAATATAAAGGTTGCTTATGGATGATTTTTGCTGCCCCGGTCTCGCTTCTGGAAAAATATGGTTGATGTGTTGCAGGGTGGATTGTCGTTGTTGTTGTTCGTACGACGCTATCGTTGCTATGAGTATACTTTCGAGGAGAGTCTGAGTTCTTTGTTTTGAATTTTGTTGTTCCTGTACTTTTTCACAGGTCTTGAAAAGACTGTTGAATGAGGATTCATCGGATTTTGTCACGTTCGTATCGCCTCTGAAGCGCAAGGGTGGGCAGTCAAATGCTGCAACAACACTGCAAGAATCTGGAGGAGCGGTGGCAACGAGTTCCATTCCCAATGGACAGGAAGCCGGGAATGGCAGGCATCCAGAAACTGGACCAGGCAAATCTGGGCCACGGATGACAAAACGGAAAAGCGCAAGGCTTTCTGAAGGTTAGGTTCGATATGAATATCAAGTTTGTTCACCTTTGTTTCAGAGGCTTTCCATAAGACTCTCTTTTTTGTACCTGCATGGAGATGCATCATTGTGAAGAGGGAAGGAAGGTCGTGGAGGCAGCAAAGAAGCCTGACAGCAGGTTTGTCGAGAAAGCACAGGAGTCGTGATGGTGATCGATCCATCGTGTTCACTGGCTGCCCAAGTGGCATCTCCAGTGAAAGTCAGGCAGTGTGAGGCTGGAGGAACTATGCGTATCATGTTTCCTGGGAACACATTCGGCTGAGTTGAAAGGCATCATGACTCGTGACCAACAGGAGGCGTCTTAAAGCGCAGGGAGAAATCTGTTGTGTTGAGAGGCGAGCCAATGATTGCCGTAAATCTGGCGATGTCTGGAATGCTGTGGCAGCAATCCATAAGTACAGCAGAATGGCTACCCTCACGTGCTGCTCCAGGGAACGCGAGGCATTGGAAAGTCACCTGGATAATGTGGTCGGATACCACAGAACCACAAAGAGGTTATGCCACAGAGAGAGGTGACTGGCAGTTTCTCATGGAACGTGCTAGGGAAGAAGAGGTGCAAATAGGCAAGCAATGTTGTTGCTTTGGGAGGCCAAACGGGTAGGAGAAACGTCTGGTTTTTAATGGGGTGCAGGCGGGTGCTGTTTGTACATACAAGGATTTCAAGGATGAGGTCTTTAGTGAGATCAGGTTAACAACTGCAATCGTGCAGCCACATTTTTGTATCAACGACTGTGAGAGTGATGTCTCCCTCAGCTTTCCAGGTCGCTGTACAGAGGTAATTATTTGTGTCGAACGGTCAGTAGCATTTATGCATTTTCTTCATGCAGAGTTTGTACGTCAGATTACCCCCTAGGAGTCCACAGCAGAAACGTGGAGGAAACAGGACTGTGAAGGGTGGCTTAGGGATGCCTCAAGTGAGAGATGCAAAGTTTGATTTCTCTCTTGAACCATGCATGTGTAAGAGAGTGGTTGATGGTGTGTGGGCAGAAGGGGTGGGAAATGGCTATGGGTTGCTGTAAAATTTCTGGTGGAGCTGGTATGCAGGGTGATGGAATAGGGGTCAGGTCGGTCAGGATGTAAAAATGCTCAGCAGTGACTGTGTTGTCACCAGTTACCTATAGATAGGAATTACAGCCCATAGCGTACTCGCTATGATTCAGTTGCTCACGAGAAGCCTTAGCAGGTGAGGGGTGGTGGCCCAAGTGGATGCCGTGTTTCACTGTTGAGGAGGTGTCGTCTCTCCATCACACATCATCTGGTATATTCCGGAGGTATAGAAAAGGTTTGCCAGTGGTGCTCCCATCATCTCGCTCTGCCTACCATGTGGCCAAGGGATGTGATATAGGAATTGCAGGTATTGCTTACTGCAAGTTACTGGCTAAGATCAGGTTGCAGACAAGCAGCCTTACCAGGTCTAAAGGATAGTGGCCCAAATGTATACCATTTTTCACTGTCAGGCAGGTGTTCGCTTTCCCTCACGCATCATCTTGTATGCTGCGCAGTACAGGAAAGATTGCAGCCTGGCCTGCCAGTGTCACTCCCATCTTCTTGCTTGGCCTGCCATGTAGCCAAGGGATGTGAGATGTGTACAACTTTTGCTGTCAAATCTGAATAGGAATGCGAAGGTGTGTTTGACAGAAAAGAGGGCAAGGAACAGCATAGGAGGGTTCATCGTGCATTCCTGGGATATGGCTCACTGGGGTTCCACTGAAGAGAGTCCAGGAGGCATGATGATTTCTCATTGATGCTTCCTGGTCCGTATGAAAATGTGCTCGCTGCAAGAAGGCTAGCTGAGTGAATGGGTGGTTGACCTGTGTGCTCGCTGGCAAGAAGCCTAGCTGAGTAAATGGGTGGTCGACCTCTTGAAGGCTGTCGAGTCTCGACCTTTATGGGTTATTGTAAACGGAGGAAGGCCAATCTTTGCAATATGATAAAGGAGAAGAGGAAGGAGGTGAGGACGGATGCAAGGATGGATGTTTCACTGTGGCATCTAATGAGCTGGCCATCATGGCGGTGTCCATGCCATTGCTTCCGAATGGCTGAACCAGCATCGGTCCACACTCTGAACGTCCGACTACGAGTCTGGCCATGGTGAGCACCATTGCAGCTGAACTGACGATGTGGTGTGACAGTTCAGTTATATTTGTTCTCTTTTGTGTGCGTGAATCAATGTGTTAATCTCCAATGAAGGGTGGTACTTCTTCTGTTTTTCTCTGCCAATATTAGCCTCCATTGTTCCCATTTACAAAACCCATGAAGGTTCTGATTCATTGCCATGTCGACTTTATTCTTCCAACATTTACAATCTGCTGCTTGGGCTGCCATTTTGCTACACTTTGTCAATGTGCCGGATGATGATGCTCTGATCAGTGGGAGCCAACAATGCTTGTTGGATGCATATGAAAGTCGTTTTTGCTTGTTCCAGAGCCATAGCTCCGTAATGAAAGGCTGCTGAGGACGAAAAAAGCAGCAGAGCCAAGGCTGGTGAAGAAGACAAATAGCAGAGTGAATGCCAGCCATATTCCGAATCCAATAGGTGAGTCCTTGCTGCTGGCAGCTCAGGAATCCAGGTGCAGAGAAATGGTTAACGAATCTGATGAGGTCTATGTGTTACTCGATTTGCCTGTGACTAGTGCTATGACTGTAAAATGAGCACTGAGATTTCCGTACTCCCACAGTTTGTCCTTGGGTTGATTGTCTGTCTGCTACTGCAGTATCTGGTACTGTGCATGCCTGAGAGGTCTCCCTCTCATGACACAGCTGAGAGAGAGAGAGAGAGAGAGAGAGAGAGAGAGAGAGAGAGAGGACCTTGCCGTTGAAGGGAGCTGGGCTACATGTGCATGTCTGAGAGGACTCCCTCTCATGCCACAGTTGGGAGGGGAGGAGAGAGAGTAAGTGTGTGTGTGTGTGTGTGTGTGTGTGTGTGTGTGTGTGTGTGTGTGTGTGTGTGAGAGAGAGAGAGAGAGAGAGAGAGAGAGAGAGAGAGNTGTGTGTGTGTGTGAGAGAGAGAGAGAGAGAGAGAGAGAGAGAGAGAGAGAGAGAGAGAGAGAGAGAGAGAGAGAGAGAGAGAGAGAGAGAGAATACCTTGTGTGGAAGGGAGATGTGCTACATTAGCTGGCATTGGAACTCCTATGTTGGGGTCAATAGAGAGGGATGGTTAGAATCAGGAACGGCTATGCTCCAGGCTGCGCAGCTCCGGAGATCCGGTGGGCTGATCTGTGTATTGAACTGTATTCTAACGACGAAGGCAAGTTATTTTGATGATTGGAAGCTTGACATGTCTGTTATAGGTCGTTTTGTGTATGGGATGTGATTCTTCCATTCAACTGAGACATGTGAGAGAGGATGTACTCAGAAGCAAACAAACGAATTGTGCAATAAGAACCATCACCTGTCAGTGATGGGTCGAGGAGAACACATTTGGCTGGTTTTTTCTGTTCAGTTTGAAATCAATTCAGGAATGACTGGAGCAAGGAAGCAAGCACGTAGCAGTACATGTCACTGTATCCAGTTAAATGTAGACAGCCTGGATTAGGCACTAGCTTCTTATAGGCAATAATCCATAGATTTGTTTCTTTCATGAGAGTGATGAATAGGGCACTGGCCCGAAATTCTTCATTGCTTTATGAATATCGGTGCATGTCAAAGCAGAGGCCTCAGAAGTCTGGCTAGCGCCCTGCTTAGTCCCATTCCTCAAGCATAGAACGCAAAGAAGTGTTTTTCACTCTCAAGTATGTGATGTGCTATGACTGACTGTTTTCGTCATATGCTGTAAACATAGTGAGACTCGTCATTGTCGAGGACAGAGCAAAAGCTGAAGATTTGAACAAAAAATCAGAAGGGAGATGGAGGAGGAGGAGAAAGAGGGGGAGGAAGACAGGGGGCAAGGAGAAGAACAATGATCCCGCAGTGTTATATGTCTGCAGTTACCACTGCCTGGTGGGGATTCCGTTTGTGCTAATTTGATTTCCTGTAGTTGAAGAAGTGCCATTTTGGTTTGCCGCTAGATGATCAGGAAGGAAATGTGAAAGGACTGAGGAGAGTAAAGGCAGGAGTGGTGAGATGAGTTCAGACTGGTTCATGAGAAGTAGTGTGATCGGGAGGAGGTGTGATCTGCGCCATGATGCATTGCATCCTTAGATAGAAGGCAGTGATTGCCACGGTCAGGGACCCGATACAAAGCCGTTGCAAAGGTGTATGTTGCTTCACAGGAGAGGATGGCTCACTGTCGTCGTGACAGATTATATGATAAAAAAGAGAGGGGTTAGCAAAGGAGGTATGCTCCTCCACTGGACAGGATGGCTCATTTTCATTGTGACAGACTATATGACACAGAGAGGGGATAGCAAACAAGACCAGACTATGGCAGGTACACAGAGCTGGGTGCTGACCTTGGTGGCCTCTCTCTTGGCAGGGTGGACAGGCGAGAGGGAGGAATCAGTGGGGGGGACCAGAGAGTCTTTTGTAGATGTTAGCCTTGTGTCGAAAAGCTGAGGGAAATTTCTACATGGCAGAAGCTAGGAATGTTTGTGAGGAATGGTGTCTGTTATTGAATCACGTTGCAGGTTCTCAAGCCACCCACTCCATGGAGAAATTGCTGATATTTTGACGATTTGCCAGCTTATGATTGCTGCAATTTTTTTTTTCGTTTTGTTTGGGAAAAAAGGTGACGACCTTGAGATATCATCATAGAACTGACCGGCCCTCAGTAATTCAGAGAAATTTCTAGATGGCGGAAGCTAGGAATGTTTGGGAGGAATGGTGTGTTTGTTATTGAATCCGCTGAGAGCAAGTGGCTGAGGCTAGGAATGATCGGGAGGAATTTCTGCTGAGAGTGTCTGTTTATTGAATGATCCTGCAGCTTCTCCAGCCACCCACTTCATTGAGCAATTGCTGATATTTTGACGATTGCCAGCTTATGATTGCTTATAATGTTTTTCTCTCTTCGTCCAAGTTGTTCGGGAAAATAGGGTGACCACCTTGAGATATCATCATAGAACCGACCAGCCCCTGGTCAGAGTTATTTTACGTATCTGATACCATCAGGACTCGAACTCCTGATTACCAACAGTTGATGGGTGTACCACAGCCACATGGGTCAGGGTATTGCTGAGATTGTTGAGTGATGGCTGGCGTTTCGTTTTGGCTGATGCTGCAGCTTCCCTTGTGTAGGAAAACCCAGCTGATTGCTCAGTAAGAGCCATAAGTCATCAGCGGTTTAGGTAAGTGAACCGCACGATATTGGACATCATACCTTCCTGTTGATATTGGCAACTCCAATTGAGTCATCAGGGAAGTGATGTGCTATAACTAAAGAATGTCAACATCTCGTTTTATTCTTCATGTTTTGGCTGTGCATAGCCGTTTGCCTTCTCGACAAGAGATCACATTCTTCTTCTTCTTGAACCATTTCATTGCAGGTGGGCCGAAGAAAGGTTGTGAACTGTCGAACTTGTGGATCCAGAGTCTCTCTCTCTCTCTCTCTCTCTCTCTCTCTCTCTCTCTCTCTCTCTCTCACACACACACACACACACACACACACACACACACACACACACANCACACACACACACACACACACAGGGGATGGCACTCTGCGCCACCAGATGGTCAGTATCCCTATGGGCACTAACGCCGGACCAGAAATTGCCAACCGCACGCTTTATTAAGAGGAAGCACAGTTCATCGATGATCTTCATTAACGAGATCTGTGTGCTGGGTAAGCATATGCATTCGCATACCGATTCATTGATGACATTCTATCCTGGAAGACGTTCCCCGCTGTCTCCTGCTCGGTATGATCTCGAGTGGAAAGACACTACTGAGCAAGATGGGTCATGTCTTTTCCTTGGGGCAAGAATCATGGTTCAGCCTGATGGCTCACTTTGCATTCGCGTGGTTGATACGGCCGAGGCCTGGACGTTCCCTGCCATACATTATCCCAAGGCCCCGGTTCATCGGCCTGCAGGTGTGCTCACGGGACAACTAACGAGATTCGAACATATATTTAACAATACCACCGACTTCAAAGCGGCAGTGACTTCCCTGACACGACGTATGCTTATCAGGGGCCATCCTCCCAGTGTCCTGGCTAGAGGCTGGACTGCATATGTGTGTGGTCGGCAGCGCTGGCTACCAACTCATGTCACACGACTTTCGAACTGGTTTCGCTGCATGGTTCGCTGGGCAATTGCTCACCCGCTCCCAAAACCTGATTCTGTGCGCAGGTCCTCCACCCAACCGCACACAAGACCGCCTGCCACCAATATTGACAGCAGGCAGCATCAGCTCTCCGCACAGTCAAACGCAGCCGGCCTGCCCTTCCTGTTATCCCTGCTGAAATGGTAGATGCTAATGTGGATACGCCAACTCAGCCAGAGACCATGCCAGCCACAGTAAACAATGTAAACGTTATCGAAGTGGCTGTAAGGGATGGAGTTCAGCATCCTACCAATACGGGCGACTGTTGCTGCTGCTGCGGAAAGCATACCTCCTCCACTGCCACTGCTGCCACCACCGCCTCCACCACCACCCACACCGCCACCACCACCGCCATCACTGCCATCATCAGCAGCAGCACCACCACCATCATTACCGCCACCCCCACCGACGTCCTCTATTGCAGCATCCTCTCAGTCATCTGTCTCTTCTTCTTCCTCTTCCCCTATGTTATGATTCTGGTTGTGTGCTGTCTGAAGACCAACACTCACTCGCATAGACTTCCAAGTATGCCCATACGTACACAGAAGGAAGGGGAGAGGATAGGAGTATCACACCGCACAGGGAGAGAGAAACACAGCGGAAGACCTGTCTCTTATACACATCTAGATGTGTATAAGAGACAGCTCTAGCACACACACACACACACACACACACACACACACACACAGCAATAAGACTCGCTTTCTTTTCCACTCCGCATACATGCAAACAGTTGGCCATTCACACTGGCGCACAGCGCAAAGCTCAGAGATATGACAATCGAGAACACAGTTCAGATGCAAAACTCGCTTCAACAAGCTATGGCGCATCAGCGCCTACACAGCCCAACTCTCTTCACTGCGTTCAACACCACTGTTCGCCCGCACTCAACCCTGGATCACCCTGAATACTCCCACACACATTCACTCTTTCACTCATTCATACATACTCACTAACTCCTAACACCACAGCGGCTATGGCCGCTCAACTTCTACTAACTATGGCTACGCTATCATCTCTCAGCCCACTTCGACTTCGGGCAACCTGCAGACCACCTTCGCATAAGACGCTGTAGCAGCGCTTCCGCATGCTTACGCAGCGAATGAATGACTTGCTGGGCGCTGTTCTTGATTTATACTTCTGTTTGCCGCTGGTCTGCCCCTTTCCACGAGGCCCTTGGTGCACACAGTCCCACACGGTACTTGCTTGACTGGACTGCGACTGACTGGGACTGGTACCACTGACTGCACGGGGTTGT